ATGCCACGGCACTCTACCCAGGGGGACAGCTTGAGGCTCTGCCTCAAAAAAAAAAAAAAATATTGATCGCTTACCCATTATTTATCAGACGTTGTGCTAGGTACTTGAAACTCACTAATGAAAAACAGGGAGCTTATGTTTCTAGAGGGAGGCAGCATAGAAAATGAGCAAGCAACAAAAATCATTGCAGATTTGTGGTGTGAACAGTAATGTGATAGAGTGTTTGTTTTTTAATTTTTAAAACAAAAGGCCTTGCTAAGCAAGTGTCTTCCCTGCTCCTATCAGTGAAGTGCTTTTCAGCAGCAAAAAAACAGACTCCTGAAAATTACCTTTAAAATAATAGAGGAAATTTACACTGTCCAGTGGTACTCTAGCCACTCCATTTAATAGGGCGAAGTTTTAGAAAAAAGCCTGATGTACGTTTAGTGTTCTGTACATATCCATAGGACTGGCTGCATAATTTGTGGAGCCCAGTGCAAAATGAGAATGCAAGGCCCCTCGTTCAAAATTTATCATGAATTTCAAGAGGACAACAGTACAGTAGTAAGCCAAGTACAGGGTTGGTCCTTTCTTTTTTTCTTTCCTTATTTATTTTTTGAGGCAGAGCCTCAAGCTGTCCCCCTGGATAGAGTGCTATGGCATCACAGCTCACAGCAACCTCCAACTTCCAAGCTCAAGCAAGTCTCCTGCCTCTGCCTCCCAAGTAGCTGGGACCACAGGTGCCCACCACAACACCTGGCTATTTTTTTTTGGTTGCAGCCACCATTGTTGTTTGGCGGCCCGGGCTGGATTTGAACCTGCCACCTTAGGTGTATGTGGCTGGCGCCTTAGCCACTTGAGCCACAGGTGCTGAGACTATTTATTTATTTATTTTGCAGTTTTTTGGTTGGGGCTAGGTTTGAACTTGCCACCTCCGGCATATGGACCAGTGCCCTACTCCTTTGAGCCACAGGCACTGCCCCAGGGTTGGTCCTTCTGAGGATAGGGTCCCTTCACTGCACAGGCAATATGCCCATGAAGCATTACTTATAATACCTTGAGAAATAATAGGAGCAAAGAAATATTTGTTCACTGGAATTGCTTTCTGCCTCGAACACTGTGTCCCTTGGACACAGTTTTTATGCTTTAGGATGATCCCAGAAACTTGAAAAAGATGCTGGAAAAAGTGAATAGAAAGTGAGTTCCTTTCTGCCAGCTAGAGCGTGAGCTGGGCAATTTATGAAACTACAAATCCTTTAGGGTTTGGAGGAGGATGGTCACGGGAAGATGCCCTACTATTTAGAAGTGTAACTTTCCTTCACAAAAGTGTTGCTCAATGTTTCAGAGCCGTATAGGTATTTAATTCTAAGTACAATATCAGAACTGGTAATTCTTTAAAGACCCCCATTTTGTGTGTGTGGGACCTATCTGAAGATGTACGAAGCAATGTTAATTTCTGAAAATGCTGGTACTGCACCTGTTCTTGAAGAAATTATGTCTTATTGGCGTAATCCCTGAAATAATTAAAGAGAACAAGAGCAAGTAAAGTTTTAGCAAGAAAGGAAAAGTTTTTTCGTTTTGTTTTTTTTTTTCAGATAGAGTCGCACTATGTCACCCTTGGTAGAGTAGTGTGGCATCACAGCTCACAGCAATCTCGAACTCTTGGACTTAAGCAATTCTCTTGCCTCAGCTTCCCAAGTAGCTGGGACTACAGGCGCCCGCCACAATGCCTGGCTACTTTGGGGTTGCAGTTATCATTGTTGTTTAGCAGGCCCTGGCCAGGCTCAAACCTGCCAGCCTTAGTGTATGTGGCTGGTGCCCTACTCACTGAGCTACAGGCACCAAGCCAGGAAAAGTTTATTCTAATAGTTTAGACAGAAAACCCGGCCCTGAAGAAAGTGCAGCGTCTAGATTTTATATACAACTTTTGAGGAGTGTCAAGTTTCTTGGAAATATCCCACAATCTCGATCAACTCCATTCCCATAGCATGTTCCCATAACAATTTGTATCTATCTGTCCACATCTGTCCCTCAAAACAATAAGCTTCCCAAGGTAACCCATCTGTGAGGTTTTGTACCAGCAACGTCTTGATTAGCAATTAGCCCCATTCCCACAATAAGACCAGGTCGGCCTGACCCATCCACCCTGCTCACGTCTAATTGCCTAACCTAACAACACTATACTCAGTAAGCCATACCTTTTGCTGGAAGGATACTCATAGGGACCAATTCTTAGTTAAGTCAGTGGAATTATAAGCCTGATCCCATGAGCAGAATCAAAACTTAGAGTCAAAACAAGGTTAGTTTCATTGGTATGATTGTTTAATTCAGACAATGGCCATGGACAGTGCCTAGCACTGTGAATCGTCTCCATGGGCGATCAATTAGAAGCACATTTATTTAATTTGTTTAATAAGACATGCCTGGTGTCTCCTGCAAGTCTTCTTACTCTAGTGAGTAGGCAACAAGCCAAGTTCTGACTAAGGAGGACTCTGTGTTCTCCTTCCAACATTTCTTGTGAGTTGGAAACTTTGGGGCATATACGTATAAATATACATATATATACATATATATATAAACATTTATATACAGGCTCTCTTTCTACCACTGGCTCACACTACACATACTTTGTGGGAGAATTCATGGCTTGTGCACACATTTGTTCATCATATTCCTTAGGTAATCTATTCTAGAATGTTTTCCTAGGCGGGGAGCAGTGGCTCATGCCTGTAATCCTAGCACTCAGGGAGGCCAAGGTGCGTGGATGGCTTGAGCTCAGGAGTTCAAGACCAACCTGAGCAAAGTCGAGACTTCCTGTCTCTGTTAAAAATAGAAAACCTGAGGCAAGAGGATCATTTGAGCCCAAGAGTTTCAGGTTGCTGTGAACTATGAAGCCACAGCACTCTACCCAGGGCAACAGCTTGAGACTCTGTCTCAAAAAAAAAAAGACCTCAAGACAAAACTTTCTGATAATGTATCAGGTTTAGGGGATAAAAGATAAATAAGACAGTTCCTGTGTTTTCTTCTTTTTCTTTTTCTTTTTTTTTTGAGACAGAGTCTCACTATGTCGCCCTCAGTAGAGTGCCGTGCTGTCACAGCTCACAGCAACCTCAAACTCTTGGGCTTAAGTGATTCTCTTA